AACTGTCACAATCCCTTTTGAAAATAACAGTCAAGGGGCATTAAAAAAATCACCCGCCGAAACCTTATTATTCTACTTATAGGATGTCAACCTAGGGAAACAGCAGAGAACATAAAATTACTTGAGCCAAGAGCTACTTTCCACTGTTAATTTCAGTATCAAAATTCTTTAAAAGTTATCAAGGTCTAATATTTAGAAAAAAGTATGGGGCGCCTGGGTGGCTTGGTCGGTTAAGTGTCCGACTTCGGCTCAGGTCATGATCTCATGGTCCGTGAGTTCAAGCCCCGCGTCGGGCTCTGTGCTGACAGCTCAGAGCCTGGAGCCTGTTTCAGATTCTGTGTCTCCCTCTCTCTCTCCCCCTCCCCCATTCATGCTCTGTCTCTCTCTGTCTCAAAAATAAATAAACGTTAAAAAAATTTTAATATTTAGAAAAAAGTAAAGTAAGCCATACCAATCAAATTATGTAGCCATTTAAATATATATATGATATACTTATCCTCATGGGGATATGTCAAGTCATGGCATATGGAAAGAGCAGGCATAAATATTACATGTACAGAATGAACAACTATGTTAAGTCCACACACCCCTAAATTCTACATTGAGTTCTACATACCAAAGTGTCACTCTTGCTGTTTCTTAGGGTGGTTGTCCAATTTTTCTACCTAAATTTCTACATCGACAAATGCTTACCTTCTTTATAGAAGCGGAAGGTATCCAGGCTTGCATCTATAGCAGCTGAGATGGGCCCCATATTTGCCACTGCCATCATAAGGGCCTCCTCCTGCTGAGGGATGTTCTCGAAAGCGGTGACATTGGCAGCAGAATGCTCAGGCCTGTATTTGCAGGGTCCATCCTTTGAATGGTAAGGGAAAAGAAACTTGATTACAACCATCCACTTCCTGGGGAACACGACTTCAAAGCAGCTTACAGGTAAAAGATTTCCAAGTCAAGTTTGTTGTGAAGCAACCCAGGAGGTGAAAGGGTATTTATTGTTTTGAAATTGAAAAACTAACTGGTGTGAGGGGCCCTGGATGGCTCAGTCGGTTAAGTATCCAACTCTTGATTTCGGCTCAGGTCATGATCTCACAGTTGTGAGATGAAGCCCCGTGCTCTGCACGGAGCATGGAGCCTGCCTGGGATTCTCTCCCTCTCCCTCTCTCTCTCTCTGTACCCCTCCCCCTTTCATGCTCTGTCTTTCTCGCTCTCAAAATTAATTAATAAATAAACTTAAAAAAAAAAAAGCAAAGCTAATTGGTCTGGATTCAATGAAACACTCGTGGTCTACCTGTCCATAAGAAGTTTTTCACCTTGGAGAAATCTGTACCCTATATAGAAAGGTATGCATATCTCCATGTGACATAGAAATAAAAACAGCTATGTGGTAACCATCTAAGCAGAGAACTATACCAGGCTAATACTGTTTAATGACAGTCCTGACAGACTGCAGATAGAGTCTACAATTGGAAATGTGCATGTTAAACATGGTGTCTGTTTTCTTCAAAAGCATTCAGCTCTAAGGGCAGAGCTGGAATGGTGACAAGTAAGGAGCTCCACTCACTCTTGCAACATATGGATAGGATTCCTCTGTGTCCAGGCCTCCATTGTTCTTAACATACTGGAAGGCATTGCTCATTAGACCACCATTGCAGCCCTCATTGCCTTGAGGCCAAGAGCAGTCCAGGAGGTTCTGCACACTCAAGGAAACACGTTTGCCAGTTTTCCGGAACATCTGTCCTTCAAGGGCACCAGTTGCACTAAAAGCCCAGCCAGAAGCACACCGACCCTGGAAACAAATTATAAAGGTCTCAGTCTACAAAAGCAATAGCAAGACTGACAGCAGTCTATTGATCTGAAAACTCTTTTAAAATATAGCAAACATGGTGTATGGTTTCCACAGCAGGAAACCATAGCAAGGGGGACAGTTTCTTTTTGGCTTTCTTCTTGGAGAGAGACCTGATGATTAGTCATCCTTGATACTCACAGGACTTACAGCAGGTGTCTGTCTCCTGTCCACAGGTACATAGATATCAGCAAAGAAAGGTATTTTAAACATTTTCCCTTTCTCATCCTTCTCGATTTTAAGGCCATTCATCATGTGTCTGAATTCTTCATTGGTCTTCAAGGAAAAGAAAGTAGAATGTTGACAAGCATAAGATTTTTTTGGCAAAGTACTGAGGAGAGAGAGAACAAAATATTCAGCAATCCGTGCCACACTCACCATGTCACCAAAGCCATTCATTGCCATCGTGAAGCTGTGTTTCCCTTGGCTTTGTTCTCGATTGTGCTGTTCAATCATTTTCATATTCTTCTCCCACACTGCTTTCCTCCAGCCCTCATTCTAGAGGCAAACATATGACTTATCATCTTTATTTCTATTTAAAACCTACTGACCTGCACCAAGTGGATGTGCTCACAGAGGGGAGGAGAAATCACAGCCAGGGATGGCTTGATGCTTCTGGGAGCTGTTCTCCAGCAACCACACAGCAGGACATATGCCCACACTGTGCACAGTCATGGTGCCCTGCTTACTGCCTTAGGAAGAGCAGCCTCAAGATGCTACTCTGTGCTACGAACTACCACCAGCACGGACATTCTCTTTGGGTCCCCTGGATAGTTTGGATGTTACCAACCATTCCATATTGCTTCCCATGTGTTGCCTTCCAGTGAATCCATTGTGCATCTAAACTTTGATCAAGCTCTATAGTAGCTGAGGCTATTCCCAAGCAAAGGGCGATCAGGAAGACAAAAGGATACATGTTTCAAAACCTAGGAAGGAAAAAAAAATAAGTATCTGATTAGACCTATCTGTCTAAAAATCCGTCCTCCTTTCTTCTAGATGTTAAAATCACTATGATGGAGTAAAATCATTGAATTTATTCTCCCAAGTACTTACCCAAAAATTATACCAGCCCCACCGGGTTGCTCACCTGATCATGTAGCTGTGCAGATGCCGTCAGAAGGTGTAGTCCCAGGGATCTCTGATGTTGGGCAGTGGCTTTAAGGCCACCCATCTAAAGCCCTGGGGTTTGGCCTCACTGACCCTGCCCACACCAGCTGGGCACACTGTGATCTTGTTTGTTTTGCTTTTGTTTTCCAAGCTGATGGCTTCTATTCTGAAGTTTTCTTGATGATTATATCTTGTTTTTAGCAGAACAAAAACTTCTAGACAATCATGTGGACTCATGTCCCCCCTCAAATCATCCTTAATTGGTTTGACTAAACAATGAGCTCACAGTGGTCCAGCTGACAAAAACAAGTATACACATATTCAGCAAGGAAAAAGATGTCCAGCTCCAGTTAATTGATGTCATTATAAGATGGGGAGGACGTGTGTCATAAAGGCACATTGGAACACAGTTAGTGATCAGATGCTATCAACTGTGGGTCTAACACTGTGATAACTATATTTTTTAGACGTTTTTCTCACAACTCAGGTCAGATAAGTGTATTTTCATTTTATAGATAAAGAAGAGAGACAAGAGAAATTTTGTCACCCATTCAAAAGAATAAAGCCAAAGTCAGCTCACTGACGAGTTTTAACTGTAAAAGTATGTTGAAGGTGGTCATTCTGAATGGAGGCAAAAGACAGCACAGGCATCCACAGAGATACTGCCACTTCAGTTCCAGACCACTGCAATAAGGCAATATCACAATGAAGTGAGTCAAATGAACTCTTTGGTTTCCCAGTGCATATAAAAGTCATGTTGACACTACACTATAGTCTATTAAATGTGCAATAGTATTTATGATCTTTAAAAAAAATGTACAGACGTTAATTAAAAAATACTTCATTGCTACAAAGTGCTACCCATCATCTGAGCTTTTAGCAAGCGTGACCTTTCTGCTGGTGGAGGGTCTTGCTTCAGTGTTGATGGCTGCTGACTGGTCAGGGTGGTGGATGCCAAAGGTTGGGGTGGCAGAGGCAGTTTCTTAAAGTAAGACGACAATGAAGTTTGCTGCAATTGACTCTTTTCTCATGAATGACTCCTCTGTCACACGCAATGCTGTTTGTTAGCACTTTACCCACAGTAAAACTTCTTTCAATTTTAGAGTCAGTCCTCTCAAACCCTATCTCTGCTTTATCAACTCAAGATATGTAATATCCTAAATCTTGTGTTGCCATTTCAACAATCTTTACAGCATCTTCACCAGGAGGTCAAGATGCTTTTCCATCTCAAGAAACCATGTTCTTTGTTCATCTATAAGAAGCAACTCCTCATCCGTTCAAGTTCTACCATGAGATTGACGCCATTGAGTCCCATTTCCAGGCTCCATTTCTAATCCTAGTTCCCTTGCTCATTCCACTCCACCTGTAGTGTCTTCCTCCCACTGGAGCCTTGAGCCCCTCAAAGTCATCCATGAGGGCTGGAATCCACTTCTTCCAAACTCCTGCTCATGTTGGTATTTTCACCTCTTCCCAGGAATCATGATGATGTATACCTACATCTGTTTTGAGCTCAAATATTTCCACATTTACATATGAAAAAATAAAATGCAGACCATCCTGCATTTAGCAGAATTTGCTCTGAGCACACATCCCTCAGTACTTGTAGACAGAATATTTTCCCATATATTTTCTCAAATATTGTGTTCTTCATAGAAATGTCAATTGGGAGTACCAAGAATTTCAAATTTATTGACCACAAAATGTAAATTTTGAGAAATATTCTAGGCAGTCTGATGAAAAATTAAAACAAAGTCAATATTGAGAAAAAACATATTCCTTAGAAATAATAGCAGTGATAAGCTATGAGATAAGATAGCTAAGGAAGTGCAAAATTATGTGAATATATAACAGAAATAATTACTGTGTTTATATTCGTTTTAATGCTAGGGTAACCATTACAAGTGTTTCATTTTCCTTTAAAGCATATATATATACACATACATATGTATGTACATATATACATATGTACATATATGTATGTATATATATGCATATATGTATATGTACATTTATATACTCATATATGTACATATATTTACATATATATGTACAATACATATATACATATATATTAAAATAATTTTATTTTTATAAGTATTTTTGTATGAAATATTATATTTTCTATGTATACCATAATAATTGAAACTAGTGTTAGTGAATATTTCATAATTTATATTATTGGAATTATTTTCATGTCTTTTTGCACTCTCAAAACTATACCAATTTGAACTAAAGTTGATTTGGACAAAATAATTAAACAGGTGACACTATTATTTTTTTTTCTTTTTTTCCTTTTAATACCCTTCACCCATTTCTCCCACACCCCACTCCTCACTTCTAGCAACCACCGGTCTGTTCTTTGTACCTATGAGCTTGCTGAAGTCCATGTGCCCAAAGTACAATGAAAACCAGTGAATGGTCCCACCTTCCCTGTGCTTTGGGGGATGCTAGAAAATGGAAAGAACTCCTGGACTCCCCCTCAGACAGACCCAAGCATTTACCCTGAGAAGCTGATCAGGAAGAAATGAGAAACCAAGAAGAAAGGGGTTCTCTGATCACAGGCTAGAGATCCCAAAAGTTCTTCCATCCCCTGCCTATGGAAGGACAGTCACTCAGGCACCATTCCACCAATGTCCTCAAATCTTTGATATGTGGCCTCTGAGAATGGAGTGGGGGAGTCCCAAGCTCTTCCCAGCTCCCTGTTTTGGGATTTCACTTGAAGGGACCCAGGGTCTCAGCTTGAGGAAAGAGGCATATGGATGGTGCATGGGTCTTCCCCTGAGTGTTCACCACATTCATCAAAGCAACACACACCATGACCGAAGCAAAACCTTCGGTCTCTCACCTCTGTTTCCAGCAAAACCTTCTCCTCATGGCTGTGCAGTCTTTAGACCAAGTGCTGTACACTCACTAAATCAAGGTATTCCTAAGAAATTTTAAAGATTTCAGTTGGAATTTTTCAGGTGCACATTTCAGATAACATCTCTAATAAAGCATTAATAGCCCATTGGTTAAAATCAGAATGTTTCTAGAAAAAGAAAATTGATGTTTCCTTTTGGAAGACTGAAAATGTCAAGTACATATTAAAATTCTGCTGCTTCTATTACTGCTACCAAGCCACAGTTAGCTGAGGAACAATCCTGGGTCCTGAATTATACTCACCCTGAACTCTGCATTGGGTTGTACGAGCCACCCTGCCCAAGGCTTCAGTAAGAAAGGAGAGCATGGCATCCTCTGATGGCACATTCTAGCCCCTACATCCCCAAAACTGTTGCCTTACTCTAATGCAAGACTTCAGTGGACAGTCTGATGTTGAGTCACTTTGAATCCCTGGGTTAAGCCTGATGTTGTCCTGGTGCATCTTTGATTTAGATATTTTGGGGTTTGATTTGAAAGTATGAGCTCTAGGTGTTTATTCCTTGTTGGTTCAGTGATGAGGCAAGCTGACTCTCAGGTCTGGTCAGGAGCCTCTGTATGTGAAGCCTTGTGGTTAGCGGGGGGGGGGGGGGGGGGGGAGGAGTCCAGCTTAGATTGGATGGAAGGTCACCCAGAGAGTGCTAGATGGCCTCTCAGGGTACCTTCAGTGTTCAGCATCATGGTAAGGAACCCACATCTCAAGCATCAACTTGACTAGATAGTTTGCTGGTGTTTAAATGACCTTTCCTCTTGGCCCTGAGACTGAATTAACTCCCATTGTTTGCATCCCCATAGCATCCTGCACTGCCATTGAGATAGGAAAGACAGGAGTTTGTAAAAGCAAATGAGAAGGCACATGTAGACACTTAGAAAGAAGGCCATGAAAGGCTCCTGGACCCAATTTCAATGTCTTACACAGCACCAATCCATTCTCAGACCCCAGTGGGGTATCCAAAAATTCAACTCAATTAAAGACACCCTATGCAGAGATAGCATTAGACCCCCCAGGTTAGTGCTCAGTTCTACAAGACTGCCCTTCCTGCCCACTTCAGATGCCAGTCACAAGCCCCGACTCTTGTCTGGGCTTCTGACCCTTATGAGTCAAAGATTCCCAAGATGCCCTCTTTGGGTTCAATTAATTTGCTAGGGCAGCTTCCAGTTTTAGTTACTGACTAGACCACAGTTTTTTAATAAAGAATATAACTCTGAAATAGGCATATGGAAGGGTTGCACAGGGCAAGCTATGGGAAAGGGCACACAGATCCCCTGCCCTCTCTAGTCCTGCCAGCTTTCCCCAAATCTCCACATGCTAATCAACCTGGAAAACTCTTTTAGGGGCTTTAAGGAGGTTTCATTACATAAATACAATTGACTAAATCATTGGCCATTGGCAAGTGATTCAACATCCAGCCCCTCACCTCTCCCCTTCTGGTCAGAGGGCGAGGCTGAAAGTTCCAACCCTCTAAACAGATGGCTGACTCTATTGGCAACTAGCCTCCATCCTTAGGCTCCTTCCAAAAGTCACCTTATTAACATAACAAAAGACACATTGATCACTCTCAACACATAGGAAATCCCAAGGGTTTAGGGGGTTGTAAGCCAGAAATTGTGGACAAGGACCAAACAAATATTAGAAATACATTTTGGTCATTGAATGAGCAAATACATATTTCTTATAAATCACAATATCACAGGTCAGAAAAGAAGTGGACATATGCTCAGGAGAGACCCATGCCAAGAAGGAGACAGTAGCCAAGGGACCCAACACTGCCCAGGGATAGGGTCAGAAGAACTGGACAGTGTGCTCCTGATAGAGTGGATGGAGTCATATCTGGCAGCCTGAGGTGGTAGCAGGAGATGAAAGACAGTCACTGTAGACAGGCATCCTAGACT